TGCATACTTTTTATGCATTAAGTGATGCAGTTTTGTATTCTGTTTAAAAATGTATTAAAGGTCTTAGGTCAAAAACTGATTAGTTTAGAAGTTATAAATTTTGTTCCGAATTCCCATATATACGACACACTGTGCGACAGTTTAAACTGTCTATTTTAAGACACCATCATTAAATTTAATGAAAAAAAAAGTTTTAATTCATAAGTTTTAGCAAATATGACAACAAGAAACTTACTTTTTTCAGAAAGTAATTTTGCTTCAGACGAAAACGACCCATGTCCGTCTGTTGAGGGTTAAGAATAAGACGCAAACAATTAAGTTATATATAATGCAGTAAAAAAAGTGTTTGTCAAAACCATATTCTACAAAAATGTGTGATATCCGAACAAAATACCTTTTCAAAAAAGGTAAAAAAAGGCGCCAAGTACATGCGCAACTCGTATCTCTAGAAAAGGTATTACTATCAAAATTTTCTTTTACAAGATTTATTCTACAAAAGAAATGATATCAATAAGTTACGCCAAGTAAAATCTTTTACTTTGTCTTTAGTTTTCGGTGCAGCCGCGCCAAGTTTTTTTACATTAAATATTTTTTATTTTGAAACATTCCACATAAGTTTTTGACATTTCACACAAATTGAAATCTATATGTATGATTCGACATAGTTTAAGATGTTCCACGCAAAGCGAAGTCATTTCTTACATCAATGAGTGCTTTATATAAAAAGTGCAGTGGTCATACAATATTTGAAACTTTTTATTGATTTAAAATATTTTCTATTTTACAACGTATAAACAACTTACCAAGTTTTATATATTTTTTATATTTTTGTAACCATGTATAAAAGATTTTACTTGACGTAACTTATTGATATCATTTCTTTTGTAGAATAAATCTTGTAAAGGAAGATTTTGATAGTAATACCTTTTCTAGAGATACGAGTTGCGCATGTACTTGGCGCCTTTTTTTACCTTTTTTTGAAAAGATATTTTGTTCGGATTTAACATTTACATGACGTTTAATTTATATTTATTTTTATGACATGTTAATTTAACTTTTATTATGTATTTTACAGTAATGTCATATTTATTAATTAATTTTACAGTTAATATCATTTTGATGCTAATGTGAAAAACGTTCAGTTAACGTTTACTTTAAATATATATTTTATATTATTATTAATTATTTTAAATATATTATTTTTTAAATATATTTATTATTTTTTTAATAAGTTAAGTTTTAAATTTAGTTGAAAATCATTTATTTGACACTTATGTAATGTTTACTTACTATTTATTTTACATTTATTATCAATTTCATTTTCTTTTACATATTAGACGTGATCAATTTAAAGAATATAAATTCTGACTGTATTGTCAATAGCTTATGTTTATTTAAATATATTTTCAAACAGTCAAAGAATGGCTTACAAAAAGAAAACCTTACATGAAATCTTGTTTTGTCGGCATATCTTCGAGTCTCTTCTTCATAGTGTCCAAGTCTCTGAAATGTACAAAATATATTTCTTTTTATATTTTAAAAATAACTTCTTATTAGGATTTATCGAAGAATATCTACCCAGATAGCCAACAAGTTGGCAACTTGCCACAAATATTGCTCAGAAGTTCAGTTTCAGCAACGTAATAAATGTTCTTGCCAGCAACAGTTTTCAAAATATAATAACAGCAAGTTCGCAACAACTCATCGGCAATAAACTTATATAGTACTATTTTACTTATTATTAAACTTATATTATTTTTTTCAACTTATAAATAAAACTCATTGCTCACATATTGCTGACTCACTTGTCACAAACATTGGCTACAACAAATTGATTGACGATAAAACTCAGCATATTAATACTGAATTGACAAAAACATTTTTGTTGCATTAAATAGAAACAACACAACAGCAATTGGCGAGCAACTTAATCTATACAATGATTTGCTTTATATTGAGTTTTCACATTTGGCTATCTGGATATTTACAGAGTAAAATAGACAGAATATTTTTTATTAANTAAACAAAATTCTTACGTACCGAATTATTGCATTCCAATCAGCAGAAGGCTCACGTTGTGCGGCATTTGCTTTGTAATGATAATTTCTTTAATTAAATAAAAACTCATTAGAGTTATTACGCTGCTGCTGCTAATATTGCATGCTATTGCTGTTGCACTTTGGAGACATTTTTAGTTCAGTAGTAGCCCATGTTGCTGAGCACGTTTGTGGAGAAGTAAGTTGTGTAATTCCCGAATGTCTTTCGGCAGATTCGCTTGAGTGCGGCAACTGTTGTAGTGTTCGAAAATGCAACAGCGGGTTGAAAACTGCTGAGTCATTATTCTTAAACACTCTTTCCGTTAAGGCAGAATGTGATTGATTAGTGCTTTCTGGTTGCTGTTCTGTAATAAATGTGATTTTTTATTGTATATAAATAAATAAGACATGTATTTAACTTGGCGTTAGCAATGATATAAGCCAAAATTGTTCATAATTTAGATTTAAAATGTCTCGATGTTCTACATAAGCTCTGAATTACTGTAAATTAACTCTATAAACTGCTTTCATTTTGATACAATGATGCTCGGCTTTTGATCATAAAATATAATTCTAATTGCACTGTTTATATCAACTTTAGAGAATAATCAACTTAATAAAATGCCGAACTTCAGAAAATTAGAAACTTAATTCGAAGTTTAAGTATTATTACATATTAAAAAACGCAGCTTGCACAATTATGAGATGAATCTTGAGATTCAGTTAAAATTATATATTTTTGGGACAAAACAACTTTAATTACTATACACAAAAGCCTACGAGATTTTAGGTATTTTCTAGAAATCCCGAAGATTTGACAACTCTAAATGACATCTTTTAAATAGCATTTACTGAAGAACACTAATTTATTGATTGTTAGTTTGAAGAATTTCTGAATATAACAGTTTTTACCATCAAAAGTCGATTAATTTAAAATAACATTTTGTTTACAAGATCTTATGTCAAAAGCCGAAACTTATGAAAACTAAATTATAAAGAAATTGTATTTAGTTAATTGTCAGAGAGTTTTAGAATATTAAGCTACATACCATCAAGTGTAAAAGATGTAAAAGGCGTTGAAAGTAGCTGCTTGTATCTGTCATTCTGACTTTCATTTTGTTGGAGAGATTGTTGTTCGAAAACAATTTCTGCAACTCTGTTTTGAGATTCGATGGTTCTTTGAGATCCTACAATATTTGGTGCTGCGTTTTCATCGTGCTCTTCAAATGATGTGTTGTGAATCTCATCGATATCTTTCTGAAGATCTACTGATTTTTCTATAGCTTTTTGTTTTGACTTATTGACTTGCGAGTCGTTCTCACTCGAAGTGGTCAAATACCGTTTCGGTTTCGTTACAATTCTTACAGGACGCCTTAGGTTTCTGAAATTCAGTGATTCATTAGTATAAATATGACTAATATGATATGTTTAAATTACCAATTTCAGAATATTAAGCAAAAAAATGCTAACAAATTGAAAAATAATTCAAAATATCAATTGTGCTTATATTAATAATCTAATTCTTTTCATTAACGGATTGCCATAATATAAATAAATAAATAACTTCTCCTGGAGTTTTCAATGTCGCACTTACTGACTTAAGCGAAATTGTTTTACTCGCCCATATTTATAATTGCCTCTAGTGGTTACAAAAACCTGTTTGCGTTTGAGAGAATTTATCTTTTGTTTATCCATATTTTGACCACTTTCGACAGTTCAACCGCAGAACTGTCTATAGATATAAAAACCAGAAATTTATACCTTCACTTTGATAAATCTTGTTCAATACAAATTCCATTTATTAGAACTACACTGAAAAAAAAGATATAATCACTATACATTTTTATCATTACCTTTTGCAAATGAGTTGTTACTTCTATCTACCATCAAACATTTAGCCACGTACAAATCTTAGATTTATTTAATGGTTACTCGTGCGATGTTAAGGTATGACAACTCTTGATTAAACGTATTTTATGTTTTTTAATCGCATACACAGGATTTATAATATAATTTAATTGTTTGATCAAAGCATTAATAAATATACAATTTTTTGTCTGTAAATAATAAAATTTTAAAAAATAAATAAAATTATTCTAAATTTTATTTTTGTATATAATTAATGTCTCATGAACAAATTGTATATTTTTTAAATAAAATATGATATATATATATTGATATATATATATCAATGAATATGAGACATTTAGAAAAAATTTTTTGATTATTGATGACGGAATAATATTTATTAGTTTTGGTTAATGAAAATCATTTCTTTGCATCTTATTCGATTTTTGATTACTTTCTTTAAGTTTTATTTGTAATAATAATAATTTAATTTTCTATAAGAGAACAGATACAACATATTTATCAGCAACCGGCTGATCGTTATTCAAATCAGTGTTGGAATCAGAGTCATCATCAATAATTTTCCAATATGGCATCATGTAACATTTAGATTGTACAGCGGCGTCAATGAATCGTTTCGTGGACGCGGGGAGCTACGGGGGAAGGGGGACGGTATTCCCTAGCAGTAATTGGTAAATACTGTAATTGGTCAATTCATCGAAATCTGCTACAGTTAGTTAGTGCGGCGCCCGTTGGCAGTACTTACTCCTAGGGAATACCGTCTCTCTTACCCCTAGCTCCCGGGGCTACGAAACGATTCATTGACGCCGACTGTACGTCGGTAATAAATATTGTACAAAAATTGCTTGATAATAAAGAGCATTTATAAATTCCTAATGACGATGACAAAATTCCGACATCGTATAAATCTTCCATAATTGCGAATTTCTTTACGACAAAATAGTATGTTTCGTTAATTTTAAGTATATTTTCAACGACACATATTGTATAGCCCTTTAAAATACAACATTTATTACTGAGTGAAGTGACATTGAAAAACATGTTTTCAATTTGTATCTTTGTGTACTGTTGACAATGTCGAAGCGACAATCCCACTAAAAGAGGACCTTCGTTATGTCTGTCGAAAATTTTTATAAATGTTGTAGTAACATGTGTCGGACGAAGCTCTTTTCGTATATTATTTATTTCTACTTGTCTCAAGGCAAATTGTTGCAAAGCAAGGTGAGGTTTTTGATAAGATCGTCTGAAAAATGGCATATTATTTTCAAACTTGAAAGCTGAAAAACTATCAAGAGGTTCACGAAAGTGTTCCACATCTTTGACTAGGTGTAATAATGCATGTATGTTATATGAAAGAAAAGAAAGCTTATAAAACACTTGGCATTTTTCCACAAATTTTCTAATGGCTACTTCTGCACGTCGTAATAATGTTCTTGAAGGTGATTTACTACAAAGCGCACTGAATTGCTGAATGTAAAAGAAGTGGATATAAGCTTGCTTTTTTAACATGCTATACATCACTACAGGTCCGGTATATAAAATGAATTGTCGGCTCTCAGTTGCTTTGTATTCTGAAAAGTCACTTAAAGATCTAGGTTTTCTGGCGAAATCTCGAGGACAGTAACAAGAAAGAAGTTTAAGTCGCTTCGATGCCAACTCTACATTTCGGCCTGATAATTTTGTTTTCTTTCTATATTTGCCCGTAATCCACGCATTTAGCAGTTTTTTACTACGCCTAAGCATACTAAGTGCATATACTCTACTGGGACTTGTGTTACCATCCCCATAGGTAACTTAGACAGTGGACTACGTCCTTTATGATGATCGCAATCTATCATTTGAACATACTCATTATCGGTTCTTAGACAATGATTTGTACCTAAGAAAATCATTCGTTTCTCATATCGGATGCCAGCAACCCAGCATTTTCCACATGCATGGCTAGATGTATGTCCATAATGGTTTAATAACCAAGCTCGAGCTGGAGCATTTGCAATAAATGCTCTTAGTACAATAAGGATTTGTTTATTATTAAATGTTATATCGTTACTTGCAATAATTTGCTGAACATCGGCTACAAACTCATCNATAAATAAATCGATATTAGCTGGCTTTTTATTTCCAATGTAAATTCCCACTACTTGAGGTTTGCTATTCGGTATGTTANTAACTGAAATTTGGATTGGCCAAATCTGCATTTTCCCTGTTTTATTCAAGTTTGCACCATCTATATTCCAGTCTACTTCGAGGACAGGAGGAATCTGATTTGGAAAAGTTTCTTTTAGAATATTATTAATAGCTACTTCAAAGCCAATATGAAGATATTGTCCAGGATATATTGTACGAACCGGAATACTTACACGCGGAGTATTGAATAATGAACGAGAATCTTTTGGAAGAAAAGAATGACATTTATGAGATTGTAAAGCATCTAATATTACATTCCCCTGTGTATGAATGAGCTTACATTTTATGAAAGCTGATGCTAAGGACTTTTGAAACACCTGATTTATGGATTTATAGATATTTATAGATCATTTATAGATATGTTACGGTCAGTATGATAAATCCGGTTAATATTAATAATTACCGGTAAATATTAATAATCGCCTAAGTATTGGGTTTATGTGAATAATGAGTCTGTAACCGTAACATTTACCGGGAAGTATTAATACTAACCGGCAATTATTAATACTTCCTAGTGTAGTCTGGTTAATGTAATAAAAAGTAATAAAAATGTACTTCTATCTAAACAGAATGATTATATTATTTGCATGTATGTATATTAAAATCAACAATTACATATAAGTTACATAACAGTTACATAAAATAGTAAACACAAGAGTCAAATTAATTAAATACAAAACTTAAAGAGAGAAAATCACAAAAAACATTTTTTTGTTATTAGTTATTAAAGTGAAAGTAAACCTGCTACAAAAATTTAAACTATAAAAAATGAAAATTAAATTTAAATCATAAAGTTATTTATTATTTATTTTTGCAGGAAAGGCTTTTGTGGCACTTGGAATGGCAAAGAACGCTTGAGTTTTTACATTTGCAGTGATTTGAATTACATTTGCCTGTACAATTACAATGTCGAAAGTCTTGACCGCCTAAATTCGAATCCTTACGAGCACATTCTCTCAGACTTATCTCAATATCGGGCACTTCGTTTATTGAAATAAAAGTTTCTTTATAAATGGTGAATTCGTTCCTCGTGTAAAAGTGGTTTAAAATACCATATTTTGTTCCTAGTTTATAAAGACTTTTGTTCTCGACAAAAATTATAATAGCAATAATATTTTTTCGACTATCAGCCTTAGCTCTATCCACTTCCGGAATCCTGATTCGAACACTTTGACCTACTCTTGCAACAGGGAATTTAGCATTAGAATGCTTTACCATTTTGTCAGCCTGCTTTTCGAGTGATTGTTTAGCAGAATTTCGAGCCTCTTGAATTTTCTGAGTGATTTTGTTAAGTAAATATTCATTTTCTTTATTCTCGTCATTTTTTTTAACTTTATCCTCTTTTTCGTCAATAATAACTATTTCTGAACCTTTATGTTGGTGGTTATTAGAGGCCTGACTATTATTATTATTATTATTGTCAATATTTAGAGCTTCGATAGTCACGTTATGTGTAAGTAACTACAAGTTTTCATTTAAATTATCAACATTCATATTACTATCATGTTGTGTTTTAACATTGTCATCATTTCGCGAGTTCATAGTCTGATCACATTCAGCATTCTGAGATGCAGCGTCAGATTGATCTTCTAAAATTGCTTTCAGATCTTCTTCACTTGTAAAAAAAAAATAATAAATAACAGAAACGCTCGCTATGTAAATACAAATAAGCAAATAAATAAGGTCACATCGAGCCAATAAAAGGATGTTAATATAATAAAATAAATAATTTAATGAACACGCTTTACATAAAAAAATATAATAATACGAAATATTTTGACTCTTACTTGAGCCTTCTTCAGTCGTGAATATTACAGATTACGCAGTATACAATTGATGTCAAATGATTAAAAATAGTCAATGTTAAAAATCATCGCAAAAGTTGGCTGTTGTAATGGATAAAATTACCTTGAGGATGACATTTGGGATGCCAGATAGTCAGACTCTGATTATTAAATTATTTATTTTATTACATTAGCATCCTTTTATTGGCTCGATGTGACCTTATTTATTTGCTTATTTCTTCACTTGTGATTTCTGATAATACATTAGCTGGCAAAGATGTTTTTAAACCTATTTTAGCTTTACAGCCAAACATAGCTTCATAAGGACTGCGATTTATTCCAGAGTGGTGAGCTCTATTTTTCATAAATTGAATAAATTTTATTCTGTCCGGCCATTTTGTTGTTTTATTTGTTTCTAGCCATGTGAATAACATTTTCTCTATGTCCTGATTCGCACGTTCAACTGAACCTTGTGATTGACTATGTCTCGGTTTACCGTGAACAATTTTAAGCTCATTCCACATTCCGCAGACTTCTTCAATAATTTTGTTAAGTAAATTCTCTGCCATTGTCACTATGTAAAATGCATGGAGCACCAAATATTGTAAACAAATCTAACAAATGATACGCAACTTCTTCGGCTCGTTTGGTTTTTAATGCTCTAAGCTGGACAAACTTTGTAAGATGATCTTGATAAACCATTATGAATCTGTAATCACCATCTGCTTGTGATTGGATGTCAATCAGATCGATTTGACATCTTGAATTAAATTCACTGCTTTTAATGGGTTTAACAACGAGTCCTTTTTTGGAATATTCATCTTCTTTTGACAAGATTCACAAAGATTTAAATAACTCATGACTAATTCTACAGTGATGTTCTTATATTTGATGCGAAGTTCTTTCATCATTCTGTTTCGTTCTCCATGTCCAATAGAAATATGAGTTTCGTGAATTATATCAAAAATCTTTTCCAAAAATGTATAATAAATAATGGGATCTCTTTCATTTTTTACTGGCACGACGAGTTTTTCTATATTACCAATTTTAACAATATCATACCTAGACAGAAAATATGAGTCTCATAAATTATATAAAAAATCTTTTCCACAAACATATAATAAACAATGGGAGCTCTTTCATTTTTTACTGATACGAGTTTTCCTACATTACCAATTTTAACAATATCCCCAGACGGCACAATGATGTATTTAAGATGTCTTGAAGATATCTCACAGAGACTTTGAATGTGCAAAAGATATCTCGTTAAGACATTTTCGAACGAGTAATGATGTTCAAATAATATCTCAGGGATATGCCTGAGACTGCTAATGTCCACATCAAAAACATGCAATTGATATCTCTTGCAAAAGTTTTAAAAATGAGGGGAATTTCGAGATTTCACTCGAATTAGTTTTTGAAGGCCTGATACAGCTCGCCGATCAACCGATGAACTCCATTGAAAAGGACCGGACCTGAAAAATCCTAAGGTGATTAGTGAGATTTGAACTCGAGATCTCCGCAAGCCCATATCCGCAGCCCCTGCACTCAGTCCGCGAGACCANTTGCTTCTTACTAAATTATAATTGTTTTTATCTACTTATTCTTAAGCTATTTTACACATTTTGTTTATTATTTATTTTAATTATTATTTAATAAAAATATTACAGTGCAATGTATAAATTGCAACTTGAGAATTGATTTTCATATCTCGCGCAAAATATACTGTGCGAAGATTTGTGATATCATCAATAAATATTTCAAAAATATTATAAGATTATCACGGGAGTGTAATACACTGCATTCAAATTTCCTATACATTAAGCGATGTCTTTGAGATATACTTGAAAGAAAACAGTACTAATATTCTTAGAAGAATATCTGTGTGATATTTCAGGGATGTGATATCACATGATATCACGAAAATGACGTAGAAACGATATCATTTTACAATCAAATGATATCATGTGCCGTCTGGGTCATACCTAGACAGCCGTTGATATTCTTCAGATGTTTTGTTTGAAGTCTTCTCTTTGGTTGTTTTGACTTTCATCAAAAATGAATTATATTCATTTCTTGTGAACAACTGATGATTTTTCCTTTCTTAGATTTAAGCATGTTAACTTACGTGTTAAATCGAGTCTTCATTATCTCTAAATCTCCCATTATGGTAAATTAATGTCTAAATACACGAAAAGTTTGCTCGCGCACAATCGTGCACATCACGCTCAAGTGAAACAAAACAGCCTATCTCGAGTGCGTAAATATTTGGCACTGACGAGTAGCTCGCATGTCATAATACAAGCGACACAGCAACGCCACAAGCAATGCTGAATCGGAATTTGTTATTAAACCAACAATAGGCGGGAACTTTTAATATTAACCGGTTAATGTGACAACATTTCTTAAAGTTATTACTTTTACCTCGTAATTTAGTTTGTATTAATAATAACCGGTAATTATTAATAATTACCAATTAATTATACTAACCGTAACAGATATATCATCAATAGTACTACAATCATTGTCTACGGTTGACAAATTAACTTTGTAATTGTCTTTATTTTCGACATACATGACTGAGTCACTGGAAACATTTTGCTTACTCCTCAACTCGACATTATGGAACACTACCTCGTTAGTATGAATATCTTTGTCATTCACTACGTCTAGACGGCGTAAATTGTTCAATAGTACGCAGTTGCTCATTAGACGTTCTTTGATAAAATTTCTTGGTAATTATTTAGAAAGCGGACTTCCTCACCGATTTTAATGAGATTGAAATATGTTGTTAAGGACGTTGTTCTGAACAACTTTTCCCTATACATGTTACCACCGGTCGGCTTTTGTTTTCGAGTTATAAACAAAAGAAAGGGTAAATGTACAGAAAAGGTCACCCCCCTCCGATTTCAATGAGCTTGACATATGTTGTCAAGGACACCTTCCTGAGTAACAATCCGTAAATTTTAGCCGTCGCTCGTTGTTAATAAAAAAGTTATGAACAATTGAAGTTTGAAAACT